TTTTTTATCCAAACAATAAATGATTTATAAAGGTAAATCAGGAAAATTAACAAGGCTGACCAAACTTTCTCACTCCACTGCACCATCTGAAGTTACTCAAACAACAAATACTGTATTTACCATATTGTATATATGGACAAATRTTGTATTCAGTATTTAAATATTGTTAAATGTTATTATCTTTTTGACACACTTAGTTTGAAGTTTATCTGTTAAAGATGCTACATGATACACCCTGACCCATCCTGCACTAAGAGAGAATAGTTTTATTTGATTTGGGATAAATGGTATAAACATACAAGTTTTACACCTGTGAATTTTTTTAGTAGACTTAAAAGTAGCTGAAACTAATCGATTCACTAACAGTTTCCAAAATTAGCAAAAAACAACAAAAAAACATGCTAAATGAGAAGCTTGTTTTATGTGACCACTGCTGATTTTTATCTACAAAAGGTAAGAWATGCATTGTTTTTGTCATCTTTGCACAGAACATCAAGACAACAGAATAATTTTGTTGCCACAGTTCATTTTCCAGCCTTATCTCATGCAAAATAAGGAGTCTTGATGTAGGAACAAAATACTATTATAAGAAAGGATCTTTCTGACTGTTTTTCCTGTTATCAGAGTGACATGCATCATGCAAGTTTATTCATTAAACACAGCTCCAATTAACTGGTTTAACTTTATTGATGAAAATGCATAAACTTGAACAACTCTTGATAAAACAATCATTGCAAAAAAAAAAACAAAAAAAAAAAACACAGAAATTGTGCAACTGCACTTTTCCCCCAGCACCATATTTAAACATGTAGTGATCAAGTTTTAGTATCTTTTATCTGGTTTTTATCATATTTTTATAAACCCCAARAGAACAAAACAACAAACATCAGCTTCAAGTTCAACACTGACAGAAAATATTAGAGATAAAAACGATGCAGCTAAAGAATAAGTGCACTTTTAAGGCTTTTTCAGAGCAACTATCAAAGGACACTTCTTTAGTTTTTTTTAAATAGAATATGCTTTTATGTTTCCATATGAGTTAAACATTGCACATAGTACAGCTGAATACATCATATATATTCATTTTGTTCTAGAATTAATCAGACTTAGACCCGGAGARAAAGACGTTTGGTCAAAATCTTTTCAAACATATTTGTTGCAAGTCTTAAAAAAGTCATGTTTTGTTCAAATTAAAGTTTTTTAGAAGTAGCTTTTTGTTTAAATAAGTCATGTTCGGTTTGAGTAACATTAAAAGGTAGCTCTTGCACCCATTAACTGTAAATTTGATCATGTTACATTAAAATGTATTTGAAGCTGTTGAATTAGTCACAGATTAATTTTATTACATTATATTTGCAGCTGTCCACGGAGTGCACTAAATCCTTAGTGAAAACATTAATATTACGTCTGCTTTTTCTTTTTTTTTTCTATTTGCAGCATATTCACATTTGCACCATGTTGGAAAMGGTTCTTTCATTCACTCCTTCTTCTTCTCCCACTCTGAAATGATGTTCTCCTTGTCGGCCCTCTGGAACCACTCGCACCAGGAGCCATCGTAAAGAGGGACCCCTGGGTGTCCGAGCCGCTCGGCGGCCAGGATGATGTGACACGCGGTGACTCCAGAGCCACAGCAAGCCCAGAGTGGACGCTCCAGGTCCACCCCGGCGTCCTTGAAGAGCTTGGCCAGGGCCTCGGTTTGGAGGTGTTTTCCAGAAGAATCCAGGAAGGTTGGGTACGGCATGTTGATGGCTCCGGGGAAATGTCCGGGGTGGATATCTGGGAGCAGGATAATATTATTTCAGAATGTACACACTCCAGATAATGTTAGTGTTTTTCATCATTTAAGCTACACTATGTAAATGGATTGTATGACAGCTCCGATCAATCACAACTTTTATTTCACCTAAAAAAATGCAAAAACACAAAGTTAATTCTCTGGTTTTCTGTCGTGAAATTAAATTAAATTAAAATACTTACTTTTTACAACCTTTACATTACATCACAACATCCCAAGAAATTTAGCTAAACAACACTAATAATAGTGGTGCTTAGAAATAACCCCTAAACATTTCGTGTGTTCTCAGGTAGCAGAATACGATTAGCGTGAACAAATAAATGGGCATTTTTCATTATTAATATTTTATTAGCTATTGTACTTAATGACTGCGTTTCTCTTTACAACAGCAGCTTTAAAACGTAGAAACAGCACCAAGTTGACCATCAAAGCTTTTGTAGTTGTGTGTGTGAAAACCTTTGGAGAGAAATACTGCTGCTTATTTTTTATTTGTTTAACTTTTATTTCAACAGGCAAAACATTAAGAACAGTTTCTTATTTACAATGCTGGCCTGAGAGTACAYAAACACTTAAAACACTTAAAAATGAAACAACATGAACAGTACATAAAACATATAAAATGAGCAATGCATTCATTCTTTAAAACAGTTACATGACTCCTTAAAAAGATCCTTTAGTCTGTGTTTAAAAGCAGGAATAGAAATCAAAGTWCCAAGATGCAGTGTATTTTGATCGAAGTTCCAATCATTTGCTGCAGCAAATGATTGCTTATCTGTGTGGTCAGGAGTAGCCTGGTTAAAACCAGACCCTGTCCTTCACTTTGCTTTTCACAAGGGTCTGGACTTGATGCAMAGAGAAGTGATTTCTTGCAGGAGGCGTGGCCTCTGCTGAAGCATGTGCGTTGTCAGTGTGTAGGAGGCTAAGCTAAGAAGCTAACCGGAAATCGTGTGTGCTGTAAACAACCCTACTGAGAGGAGAAATATACCGAGCCGAACGAGACGACTGTAAATGAGAGCTGCTGCTTTGTCAGACAAATTTATTTAATTTGGAAGCCTTATCAACACGGACTGGTTTCATTCACTTCCTCCACTGCCMTATGCTAAAATAACTAGCAGACACTGCGCAGAACATCGACGTCGTTCAAAACTCCGCCTTCTGTTTGCTGATTGGCCCAGATAAAATAAACTACAAAGCAGACACTGCGCAGAAAATTGATGTTCTGTTCTCTGATTGGCCCGGCTAAAAATCTGCCAGTGAAATCATTCTCTACGGGAGAAGTCCCAGACGGAGCTGTGAAGGAAACTAGAATTTAGCGGAGCTGCGTAGGAAGGCAAGGGCCAGGCTAGGTCAGGAGGGAAACAAGGACATCGCTCTCACCAGCTCCTCCTGGGGGACCATAAGATGTTGCGGGAGAGGATATATAATCCCTCCAGTGAGTTCTGGGTCTGTCTGGGGTCCACTTCCCAGTGGGACATGGCCAAAAAACCTCTAAAGGGTGGTGTCCTAATCAGATGCTCAAAACCACCTCAACTGACTCGTTTTGATGAAGAGGAGCAGAGGCTCTAATGCGAGCAAACGAACTTTTATAACTTGCATTGCAGCATCTTTAAAAATGTCATCAACAGATCAATCACCCAACATGCTCTCACTCCCTACTCATCATATACACTGTAAAAAATGAAATGTTGGATTTACTTAACCGTGTTATGTTACCTGGTTCCACTTAACTGAGTTGAGTAAATTCAAAGCAATATAGCATTTTTTAGCCAAAGAACATGAGTATGTTGCTTTGAATTTACTCAACTCAGTTAAGTGGAACCAGGTAACATAACATGGTTAAGTAAATCCACCATTTCATTTTTAGAGTGTATGAACATTTGGTCAGGCTCCTATGGGAGTGAGAATGTGCTGAATCATCATGAATAGTGGACAATAAAAGATGAAAAATAGGCTACTCTTCTTCTAGCAGTGCTGCTACCTGTAAACACAGATAAAATACTTATTTTACTAAATATTTCCTTATTTATGGTGACATCCTTCAGAGGCTTTGTCCAACTGGTTGAGCCGGTTTAGCTTGTGTCCTACCCATGAAGCCAAATCTGCATATGTGCCATGACTCAGTGTTTTTTTTTTTACACACAAATCCATTCAGTTAGCCCAACTCATCTTTCATACTGTGGATTTCCTCAGGAAGACTTGTAARAGTTTTAGTTAAAATGGATTTACCGACCTACTTAATGTTTAATAAGAGCCTGTATGAAACCTTTTTTTTTCAGATGCTCCAATATGTCAAATAAAACATGAAGGTTAGTGAGTTAGCAGTGGCTGCAACATTTTACATGTGCACATGCAACAAAACCAGTTTGAATGTGTGCATTTAAAGTTGCTTTATATGCTGTAATGAACTTTTTAAAACTTAACTCTGCAACTTTGATTCAATGAACACAGAGCATGACAGTTTCATATTAGATCGTGTTTTTTTTTACTACAGTCTTATTGTTTAATGTAGCCTATAAAGTTTCTGACAGTTCTGCAACATATAAATTAAACTACATGTTGATCAGCTGTGTTTATCTTGATGTACATTTTAAATACATAAATAGAAAAGCYACAGTTCTGCTCACCTGCTCTGGGTTCTGGATCAGTACCCTTGAACCTGCCAGCAGACCTGCCGTCCACCACCTGGACCTCCTTGGTCTTGATGTTCTCCAGGACGTCCTCGTAGCTCTTCACCCATGATGCGTTCAGGGTCGCCTGGAAGTCTCTACGCTCGGGCTTCTTGTACTCGGAGCTCACCGGGTGTCCGTCAGCCTCCCAGAGCTTCATGCCTCCGTCCAGCACCGAGACCGATCTGTGGCCGAACACCCGGAACATCCACCACACCCGGGGGGCGCTGAACGAACCCGCGCTGCTGGTGTCGTACACGACGACGTGCGTGTCGTTGCCGATGCCGAGATCTCCCACATACCGAGAGAAGAGGCTGGAGGTCGGCAGCATGTGGTCAAACTCCGAGCTCTCATCGCAGCATTCGTCTATGTCGAAGAACGACGCGCCCGGGATGTGTTTCTGAGCAAACTCCTCTCTGGTGTTCCGCTTGGCTTTGGGAAGGTACCAGGAGCTGTCCAGGACTGAAAGTTTTGGACCCACGAGATTATTCTTTATGGCATCTGCCAGCCACTGACAGGAGACAAGAGCAGGAGTCTGAGCATCCATCATGAAGAGGAGTTGTGTCCAGGATGATGACAGGAACAACAACAACAATAGTATTTATGCACTTGTCTCCATGTCTTTATAAATCGGTGCTCGTCCCGCCCCTTTCCGTGCCAGGAAGTTCACCGCTACAGCTGACGCACTCTTTTTATTGTTTCAAAAAGGTTTCCAGTTAAATAACTTAAAGTTAAAATGATTAATATAATCTGTCAACAGGAGAGTGAGGAACCGACATTCACAATTTCACAAGATGTAAAACCTCCAAAAAARATCTTAATGTTTCAAAGATATGTGTATTGAATTAGAAACGATAAAAACACAATGCGTACAGATGAATGTTTTAAAACAAGCACAAAAGTATGGAACCACAGAGCTGCCATATGACATAAAATTATTGTTGACCTGTATGTCATAACGAGAAAACTGTCTTGTTATAATTACATAGTTACATAATAAAAACAACTCTCATAACGAGAAAAATACCTCATTATAATGGGAAAAATATCATTATAAGGGGAAATTATCTCATAATGGAAAATTATATCAGAACAGGAAAATTATCATAAAAAGGAGAAAACTGTCTCATTTATTTTTATTTTTTATTTATTTTATCTCATATAGAGACAATTATGTCATTATATAACGAGAAAACTATCTCATAATGACAAAACTATCTCTTAATGGAAAAGCTGTCATTGTAATGGGGAAAATATCACATTATAATGAAAAACTATCTTATAATGGAAAACATAATGGAAAACAATGTCATATAGAGAAAAATGTCTCATTATATAATGAGAAAACTCATAACGAGAAAACTGTCTTGTTATAATGGGAAAACTATCTCAATTTAGTGGACAACTGTCTTATTATATTAAGAAAACTATCCCATAATGGAAAATTATCCTGTCATAAAAGGAAAATCTCATTAAGGAAACTATTTCATTATGTAACAAAAAATGTATCTCATAACTAGAAAACTATCACATTATAATGGAAAACTATCTTTTAATGGAAAACTGTCATTACAATGGAAAATGATACCATACAAAGAAAAACATCTTTATATAATGAGAAAAATATGTCATATAACGAGAAAACTATCTCAATGTAGTGGACAACTTTCTCATAACAGGAAAACTATCTCAATATATAACGGGTAAACTATCTCAATGTGGACAACTATCTCATTACATCAAGAAAACTAATAATGAGAAATTGTCTCATATCAAGAAAACTATCTCATTTAAAGAGAAATTATCTCATAACTAGAAAACTATCTCATAATGAGAAAACTATCTAATTATAATGGAAAATTGTCTCATTATAACAAAAAACTATCTCATTATATAACAGGAAAACTATATTTTAATAATGGGAAAACTATCTCCATATAGTGGACAACTAATCCAATATAACAAGAAAACTATCTCATATAATGGGAAAACTATCTTGTTACAAAACGGTAAAAATATTTCACGAGAGTGGACAACTATCTCAGTATAACAAGAAAACTATTTCTTATAATGAGAATTTATCTCATTATAATAGACAACTATCTCATTACAACTGAATTATCTTGTTTTAACGAGATATGGCTCAACAATAATCATATACTGTATAATGTGACAGCTCTATGCTTCCATAAAAATGAGACTAGAGCAATTTTTCTTTCACAGCACTTTGACACAAAAAAGAACTGAAAAAGATATGAAAGAAGATGCAACAAAAAGTGTAACAGAAGTGCAAATAGATTTTGTCAGCAGATATACACTCACCGGCCACTTTATTAGGTACACCTGTCCAACTGCTCGTTAACACTTAATTTCTAATCAGCCAATCACATGGCGGCAACTCAGTGCATTTAGGCATGTAGACATGGTCAAGACAATCTCCTGCAGTTCAAACCYAGCATCAGTATGGGGAAGAAAGGTGATTTGAGTGCCTTTGAACGTGGCGTGGTTGTTGGTGCCAGAAGGGCTGGTCTGAGTATTTCAGAAACTGCTGATCTACTGGGATTTTCACYCACAACCATCTCTAGGGTTTACAGAGAATGGTCCGAAAAAGAAAAAACATCCAGTGAGTGGCAGTCCTGTGGGTGGAAATGCCTTGTTGATGCCAGAGGTCAGAGGAGAATGGGCAGACTGGTTCGAGCTGATAGAAAGGCAACAGTGACTCAAATAACCACCCGTTACAACCAAGGTAGGCAGAAGAGCATCTCTGAACGCACAGTACGTCGAACTTTGAGGCAGATGGGCTTCAGCAGCAGATGACCACACCGGGTGCCACTCCTTTCAGCTAAGAACAGGAAACTGAGGCTACAATTTGCACAAGCTCATCGAAATTGGACAAGAGAAGATTGGAAAAACGTTGTCTGGTCTGTTGAGTCTCGATTTCTGCTGCGACATTCGGATGGTAGGGTCAGAATTTGGCGTCAACAACATGAAAGTATGGATCCATCCTGCCTTGTATCAACGGTTCAGGCTGGTGGTGGTGGTGTCATGGTGTGGGGAATCTTTTCTTGGCACTCTTTGGGCCCCTTGGTACCAACTGAGCATCGTTGCAACGCCACAGCCTACCTGAGTATTGTTGCTGACCATGTCCATCCCTTTATGACCACAATGTACCCAACACCTGATGGCTACTTTCAGCAGGATAATGCGCCATGTCATAAAGCTGGAATCATCTCAGACTGGTTTCTTGAACATGACAATGAGTTCACTGTACTCAAATGGCCTCCACAGTCACCAGATCTCAATCCAATAGAGCATCTTTGGGATGTGGTGGAACGGGAGATTCGCATCATGGATGTGCAGCCGACAAATCTGCGGCAACTGTGTGATGCCATCATGTCAATATGGACCAAAATCTCTGAGGAATGCTTCCAGCACCTTGTTGAATCTATGCCACGAAGAATTGAGGCAGTTCTGAAGGCAAAAGGGGGTCCAGCCCGTTACAAGCGTGGTGTACCTAATAAAGTGGCCGGTGAGTGTATGAACATGTCAAACTTTATTATTTCTCCAAGTTAAGGTTGTTTGATAATAAATCTGCAACAGGTAAGATATTAATTGCTGGAAATTAATTTCCACAAAACGTTACTGCACAGCTTAATCTGAGTGATTTAATTGAAACTCATATAACTAATTGTAATTTCTTTGGCAACATCTTTCTAAAATCAAATGAGGACATAAGGTTGTTTAATACTCCTGAGTTTGCCTCACAGTGAAACCACTGTTTCAATATACCAATTCTAGTAAAAGCCAGCAAGATAACATGACATTCTATTGTTCATTTTACTTTTCACTGACTCTCAGATCGCATCATTTGGAGCTTTAGTAACAGATCAGTTGAACTGGTGTGGCTTCATTCTATGTCAGCCACTGATTTGAAACCAAAGCTGCAAAGACAGGATGTTCAAGTTTGGAGAGACAAAAAATTTAAATGCTAACAGGAAAAGCAAACATTTGTCATGCACAGGCTTGTCCCATCCATACCTTTAATCAGAAATGATGCAGAGACTATTGGTTGCCAAGTGAAAATTACTCATATAAACATATTTTGCACTGAAATTAGAGACATTTTTCTTTTCAGAACCCTTTTAATAGTAGAAAATGCAGTTTATACACAACTGTAATTACAGTGGCTCACTGTGAGTCTCCTAAATTCCACAGATAAGAAAAGGCCCCAGAAAACTGTGAGATATAAATCTCCAGACTTGAGCTTAAAAAGTGCTCATGACTCAGCAACAGTTATGTTAAAAAGAGGCCTGGAAAGATAGAACACAACTAATAATACTTCTAAAAACATGTCAAAATGGTTATAAATCAGTAAAGAAAGGCAAAACTGTGCATTTCCTCAATGAAGGCTATAGTTAGTTGTGTTTTGTTGTTTTCCTGTTCTCAGCATGTTTCAGTTTAATTCTTCTTGTGTGATTATTTTTCATCATTGGTTGCCTTCAGCTCACCACACAAACACCTGCTCTGCATCTGCTCATCAGTTGTTGTCTCAGTAATCACTGCTCATTACTTATTCTGTATACCAGACGTACCCCAACCATTATTTGCATCATAAACTGTTTTCATACAAATGAACTTTTCCACAGACTTTAAAGACCCTACAAGTTAATCTATATTATACTACTTATATAGATTTACAAAAAAAAAAAAAAACATTTGTACTTTTGTCCTGATTTGTACCAAGTGATCCAGGTCATTGTGTACTCTCCGGTACATTTGTCAGATCCATCTGTTTACC